TAGGCATGAGCCACTGCACCCAGCCATGAAGCTTTAAACTTAGAGACGTGACAAACTATCAAGTATTTTCTGTATGTGTTTTAAAATCCAAGTAACTTTGAAGACCATGAAATAGCTAACATCATGAAAGTGAGCAGGTTTTTTTACACAAGAAGGTTTCCCTTAAGGTATATAGGCAAGGTAGCCTGAGTCTGGTAAGCTGAGGGGACCCTGATCAATATTCAAAATTTTAAAAAGTTTACTGTGGGATGTACTGTTCTACTCTTGGGTGAAGTGGTCCTGGAATAGGTGCATGTTTTGGAGAAATCTAGAAATAACTCACACACTCTTCTATTTCTGTGAGGCCTCAACACCCTGGTTGCTCTTTCTTTCACTGAAATGAGGGAGGTATTCTTGCCCCTGAGGGCAGATGTCTCTGTTGGGGAGGAGAGTGTAAACATCATGGATTCAGGTGCCCCAGCCTTTCATCCTTCATGAGATAACCTGGGTAGACTGATCCCTGATTAACTCTTTATGTCTGTGTTTGTTGACTCTGAGCTTGTTTCTTTCTTAAAAGTATATACATTATATTAATTACGTGTGTGGGGTGAAGGTGAGACATGTATATTGCCACTTCAGAAGGGTTTTGTGTTGAAGGGTGGGCAGATGCATGTATTCAGTTTGCCATATTGAACCTAACACGATGACTATCGCATCCCCTGTGACTTGGACATACATGCCCAGATGGCCTGAAGTAACTGAAGAATCACAAAAGAAGTGCAAATGCCCTGCCGCCTTAACCAATGACATTCCACCACAAAAGAAGTGAAAATGGCCGGTCCTTGCCTTAAGCAATGATATTATCTTATGAAATTCCTTTTCCTGGCTCATCCTGGCTCAAAAAGCTCCCCCACTGAGCACCTTGTAACCCCCACTCCTGGCCACCAGAGAACAACCCCCCTTTGACTGTAATTTTCCTTTACCTACCCAAATCCTATAAAACAGCCCCTCCCTTATCTCCCTTCACTGACTCTCTTTTCCGACTCAGCCTGCCTGCACCCAGGTGAAATAAACAGCCATGTTGCTCACACAAAGCCTGTTTGGTGGTCTCTTCACACGGACGCGCATGACATAGGCCACATAAGAAATTGTCCTTATGAAAATAAAGGAACTTTATTAACTAAGAATTTACCCTAATCTTTGTCTTCCATAGTTTCTTTTGAGAGTATAAGTTTTGTCACATGTCTGAAATCTTTATATGGAAGCTCTGACTCCTGGCCCTTTGGTTGGAGCCCACTTCTACCTGTGAGCTTTGAGTTTATAACAATGTACCTATAGCTATACAAAAGGCAGGAGGAAGATTGGATTTCAGGCTTAATGAACAGACTCAGAACTTAAGGTGGACCCAGCATGGAACTGGCACTTTACAGAACAGATAAGTACTTTTTTTTTTATCTCTGAAGTTTTAGACTAACATTTCATATGGACATTTCAGATTACACATATTGTATCTAGTATAAAAACCGTGCTTTATACTTTTCTTAGTGCTTAAGATGTATAGTCCTTAAAACAATAATAGATACATTGTTGGAGAATGATAGTTGGAGCATTGAGAGGATTTAAATTTTATTTCTATACTGTATAATACTGGATTCTAAGCTTAAATGAGCTTAATATTAGAAAAAAATAGTATTCATAGTAATGTAATAATCACACAAATTTCAGCATATTGAAAATGTGTTGGGAGACAAGTATGTATTTGGTATGTAATTTTTTAGTATTTAAATGTCTGTTTTTTGTTTTTTGTTTTTTGTTTTTTTTGAGATAGAGATTCACTCTTGTTGCCCAGGCTGGAGTGACAATGGGGCGATCTTGGCTCACCGCAACCTCTGCCTCCCGGGTTCAAGTGATTCTTCTGCCTCAGCCTCCCAAGTAGCTGGAATTACAGCCATACACCACCACATCTGGCTACTTTTTGTATTTTTTTTAATTATACTTTAAGTTCTAGGGTACATGTGCACAATGTGCAGGTTTGTTACATATGTATACATGTGCCATGTTGGTTTGCTTCACCCATTAGCTCGTCATTTACATTAGGTATTTCTCCTAATGCAATCCCTCCCCCATCCTCCCACCACACAACAGGCCCCAGTGTGTGATGTTCCCCGCCCTGTGTCCAAGTGTTCTCATTGTTCAATTTCCACCTATCAGTGAGAACATGCAGTGTTTGGTTTTCTGTCCTTGCGATACTTTACTCAGAATGATGGTTTCCAGCTTCATCCATGTCCTTACAAAGGACATGAACTCATTCTTTTTTATTTGGCTGCATAGTATTCCACGATGTGTATGTGCCACATTTTCTTAATCCAGTCTATCACTGATGGACATCTGGATTGGTTCCAAGTCTTTGCTATTGAATAGTGCTGCAATAAACATATATGTGCATGTGTCTTTATGGTAGCATGATTTATAATCCTTGGGTATATACCCAGTAATGGGATTGCTGGGTCAAATGGTATTTCTAGTTCTAGATCCTTGAGGGATCACTACACTGTCTTCCACAATGATTGAACTAGTTTACATTCCCATCAACAGTGTAAAAGCATTCCTATTTCTCCACATCCTCTCCCGCATCTGTTGTTTCCTGACTTTTTAATGCTCCCCATTCTAACTGGTGTGAGATGGTATCTCATTGTGGTTTTGATTTGCATTTCTCTGATAACCAGTGATGATGAGCATTTTTTTCATGTGTCTGTTGGCTACATAAATGTCTTCTTTTGAAAAGTGTCTGTTCATATCCTTTACCCACTTTTTGATGGGGTTGTTTGATTTTTTTCTTGTAAATTTGTTTAACTTCTTTGTAGATTCTGGGTATTAGCCCTTTGTCAGATGGGTAGATTGCAAAAATTTTCTCCCATTCTGTAGGTTGCCTGTTCACTCTGATGGTAGTTTCTTTTGCTGTGCAGAAGCTCTTTAGTTGAATTAGATCCCATTTGTCAATTTTGGCTTTTGTTGCCATTGCTTTTAGTGTTTTAGTCATGAAGTCCTTGCCCAAGCCTATTGTCCTGAATGGTATTGCCTAGGTTTTCTTCTAGGATTTTTATGGTTTTAGGTCTAACATTTAAGTCTTTAATCCATCTTGAATTAATTTTTATATAAGGAATAAGGAAGGATTTCTCTTCTCAAGGAGTATCTTTGTGGTGTTCTCTGTATTTCCTGAATTTGAATGTTGGCCTGCCTTGCTAGGTGGGGGCTCCTGGATAAATTCCTGAAGAGTGTTTTCCACTTGGTTCCATTCTCCACATCATTTTCAGATACAACAATCAAACGTAGATTTGGTCTTTTCACATAGTTCCATATTTCTTGGAGGCTTTGTTCATTTCTTTTTACTCTTTTTTCTCTAAACTTCTCACTTCATTTCATTCATTTGATCTTCAGTCACTTATACCCTTTCTTCCACTTGATTGAATTGGCTACTGAAGCTTGTGCATGTGTCATGTAGTTCTTGTTCCATGGTTTTCAGCTCCATCAGGTCATTTAAGGTCTTCTCTACACTGTTTATTCTAGTGAGCCATTCATCTAATCTTTTTAGCTTCCTTGCAATGGCTTCAAACATCCTCCTTTAGCTCGAAGAAGTTTGTTATTACCAACTTTCTGAAGCCTACTTCTGTCAAATCATCAAAGTCATTCTCCATCCAGCTTTGTTCCATTGCTGGTGAGTTGCTGCGATCCTTTGGAGGAGAAGGGGCACTCTGGTTTTTAGAATTTTCAGCTTTTCTGCTCTGGTTTCTCCTCATCTTTGTGGTTTTATCTACCTTTGGTCTTTGATGATGGTGACCTACAGATGGGGTTTTGGATTGGATGTCCTTTTCATTGATGTTGATGCTATTCATTTCTGTTTGTTAGTTTTCCTTCTGTCAGTCAGGTCCTTCAGCTGCAGGTCTGTTGGAGTTTGCTGGAGGTCCATTCCAGACGCTGTTTCCCTTGGTATCACTAATGGAGGCTGCAGAACAGCAAATATTGCAGAACAGCAAATATTGTGGTCCAATCCTTCTTTGGAAGCTTCCTGTCACAGGGGCACCCGGCTGTATGAGGTGTCAGTCGGCCCATACTGGGCGGTGCCTCCAAGTTAGGCTACGGGGGCTCAGAGACCCACTTGAGGAGGCAGTCTGTCCGTTCTCAGAGGACAAACACTGTGCTGGGAGAACCACTGCTCTCTCTGAAGAGAGAGAGTTTAAGTCAGACAGAGACGTTTAAGTCTGTAGAAGTTTCTGCTTCCTTTTGTTCAGCTACACCATGCCCCCAGAGGTGGAGTCTACAGAGGCAGGGGGCCTCCTTGAGCTGTGGTGGGCTCCACCTGGAGCTTCCTGGCTGCTTTATTTACCTACTCAAGCCTCCGCAATGGCAGACTCCCTTCCCCAGCTGGGCTTGCTGCCTTGCAGTTCGATCTCGGACTGCTGTGCTAGCGGTGAGCAAGGCTCCGTGGCCATGGGACCGCTGAGCCAGGCACAGGCATCCCTTGGTGTGCCGTTTGCTAAGACCATTGGAAAAGCGCAGTATTTAGGTGGTAGTGTCCCAATTTTCCCTGTACAGTCTGTCACGGCTTCCCTTGGCTAGGAGAGGGAAATCTCCTGACTGCTTGTGCTTCCCGGGTGAGGCGATACCCCACCCTGCTTCAGCTCGCCCTCCATAGGCTGCACCCACTGTCCAACCAGTCCCAGTGACATGAGCCAGGTACCTAAGTTGGAAATGCAGAAATCGCCCATCTTCTGCGTTCATCACGCTGGGAGCTGCAAACTGGAGCTGTTCCTATTTAGCCATCTTGGAATGGACCCCTAATTTTTGTATTTTTTAGTAGAGATGGGTTTCTGCATGTTGGTCATGCTGGTCTCAAACTGCCAACCTCATGTGATCCGTCTGCCTCAGCCTCCCAAAGTGCTGGGATTACAGGCGTGAGCCACCGCACCCAGCCTATGTCCTGTTATTGAGTATGTCCTTATGTTTCATTTCTTTTCTTTTAGGTCTCTTTTATTCAAAACCTTGTATTTTGTGTGGAAAGAGTTTACCGTGTGCCTGACTTTGGTGTCTGGGAAAGAGGAAGCAAATATAATAATGGCAGCACAGAGCTACATTCGAGGTAATTTGCTGATTTCTGAGATTTTTTTTTTAATTAAATGTGTGGAATTTGAATATGGAAAAATACTGACGCATTAGATTGGAACTGTGATTTATATGTTAATTTGCGGCAATTTTTTTTTCTACCTATGATGCAGATGGAAGTCACTTAAAATTAACACAAAAGAGCCCATTCTCAGTGCCCATAAACAGATGCAAGATAGGAGTAGGTGTCTTTCCCAACCTGCCAAGGTGTCAGTACATGCATATCAGCCTTCATCATTAATCCACAGCTTGGCCTTTCTGCTCAACCAAGTCATTTTCTTTTTCCTCTTTGAAATTACCTCATTTGAAATGTCAAGTACATTAAAATTTTCAAACACCAGTTGTATATGCACTGAATATAAAATTTCCTTCCATGTTATAGAACTGATTTTTATCTTGACCACAGATTCTTACACTGTTCATGTAAAACTTAAGATTCATTGTCATCTGTAAGATCTGTGATCAACATCTTGAGCTGTGGTTTAGTGCGTTTGAATAAGCAACAATAGCTAATAACTGATATTAGTAGTTTATGAATTTCTTTTAATCCTTAGGGTTAAGGAAATAACTTTAGTGACTGATTGTACCTTTCCTAAATCCTAATTTTATGCCAAGGAGATCATATTTTAATAACAATATAGTTCAATAAGTCCTATCCATGTTGCACTAAAAGATGTATGAATTTAAGCTAAAAGTTATTACTGTAGGTTAGTTTGGATTATTGAGACTTAAATGAAGTAAAGAAACAGTCTAGAGGCCACGCATGGTGACTCACTCACGCCTGTAATCCTAGCACTTTGGGAGGCTGAGGCAGGAGGATCACAAGGTCAGGAGTTCGAGACCAGCCTGGCCAACATGGTGAAACCCCATCTTTACTAAAAATACAAAAAGTAGCTGGGCATGGTGGTGCATGCCTGTATTCCCAGCAACTGGGTAGGCTGAGGCAGGAGAATGGCTTGAACCCAGGAGACAGAGGTTGCAGTGAACCAAGATCGTGCCACTGCACTCCTGCCTGCATGACAGAGCGAGACCCCGTTAAAAAAAAAAAAAAAAGAAAAAGAAAAAAGAAACACTCTAGAAAACACTGGTTAAGAGGAATCCAAAGTGGTCTATATTTTTTGATAGACTAATCGCACACACAAAAATAAGTTGATATAAGATATTTAGTAAACTAAAACCTGGCTCCAGATCACTAGCTATATAACCCTCAGCAAGTTATGTGACCTTCTTATGATTCAGTTTTCTCATCTGTAAAATAAAGGTGATAATTCTACTTTATTTCATTGTTGTAATAATCGTTGTCATTGTTGTAGTAGTGTATATAAAGCATTTGAATGCCTAGCATAAGTAAGCACTAGAATGTTAGTGTACTTACACATTTAAGAACATTTTAATAAAAAATATTTAAATTAAAGGGACTTTAAGATTAATCCTTAACTAACATAGAAACATTTTTCTATAGGTTTTGTGATTCATGTGAAGAATTTTTACAGTATAGACCAGAATAGTATCAATCAATGAAAAAGTCAGTGAAGTAGAGGAATAATTTGTGGTAAAGTTCATTTCAGACATTAAACAGATTCTGGCAAATACTAAAATTAGATAGATGATGTTATAATTCAGCCCTCATCCAAATTAAGTGCTCAGCATTCCAGATTATCACTCAAATAATAAGAAATTGGATCTAATTAGATACGATGATTTTTAAAATTTACCTTTTCAGTACGTATGATTATCAGATCTCTTCTTTCTTTTTTAATAAGCTTTTAATATATCAGTCTGACCCTGTTGCCATTATTTTCAGCGTGAAATATTTAGACTAGAAGTTTTTCTGTTTATAAAAACTATAGTAGGCCAGGAGCAGTGGCTCACATCTGTAATCCCAACACTTTGGGAGGCTGAGGCGGACAGATCACCTGAGGTTGGGAGTTTGAGACCAGCCTGACCAACATGGTGACACCCCGTCTCTACTTAAAAAAAATACAAAAATTCGCCTGGCATTGTGGCATGCGCCTGTAATCACAACTACTTGGGAGGCTGAGGCAGGAGAATCTCTTGAACCTGGGAGGCAGAGTCTGTAGTGAGCTGAGATCGCACCACTGCACTCCAGCCTGGGTGACAGAATGAGACTCCATCTCAAAAATAAAAATAAAAACAAAAGTAAACTGTAGTAAACTCAGAAAGAACCTTAAATAAAAGTTACTACTGACCCTAGAAAGTAAGGGTGTTAGAAGGTGCCTGGTGACAAAACAGGCTCCAACTTGTATTCCTATAACTGAGGTGCCAGTCTTTAAATTGATTCATTAAGGTTTTTGTTTGAAGGCTTGAAAAATCATTATGTGATGTTCTTTGCCCTCTTTTGCATGCAAAATTAATCTTAATTGTAGTCGGCCGATTTTGTTCAAATGGATGAGAGATGAAGTTTGTCATTTAAGTTTGGATGATGGGTTTTATACTTTATTTGACATTGATCTTGTAATTGTCCATCGTATAACACTTTAAAATTCCCAAAAAGAACTTTAACCTTAATTTTTTATCTGAAAGTTTCCAAGGTCAGGTCTTCTGTTTTGAATCTATCACCTCTGATGTCCAAAGGATACATTTTGAAACTGCAGGAGAATTGAGCTCCATGTGCTCACGGAGGCAGTGACGGCTGTGGTAGTGGGCGGCCAGTATCTTTCTGCACTTAGGCCTGTGTAGTGGAATGTAGGATCAAGTCACACCTCTTAATCTGTCTCTGCCATAGGATACCCCAGAACTATTTGGGGTTTATTGGATCTATTCTTTACTGCTTAATGCAGTATCCTTGTTATATCCTGAAGCTGTTCTCATAATTTCAGACAGCTTGAATTAATACATAGTAACACTTACCATAAGTACTTACACTTCCCTTCGTAGCCTGACACTTTCTCTGCCACTCTCCTTTCTCTGTGCTATACAGTCATCTGTACCAGGAGTCAGAGAGAGAACAGAGCATAATCTGAGTGTTGCCTTGGTGCTCACTAGGGCCTCAGTTGAAGTGACTGACTCTTCCTTTCCTTGCCACGTTGAGTACATCCCTTCTAAGTTGCACCTCGTATCAAAGAAGATTTCGACCCCTGGGCCCCAAAAGACGCACATGTACTTTTCTGAAGTCAGAGGCTCTCTCTTCAGCATCCATGTCCAGCTGTCCTTTAATAATTGCAATCTGTGACACTGAACAGTTATGGAATATGTTTAGGCCAGGCCAGGAACCTTACTGCATTTTATATAGGAGGAAACAAATGTTTAGAAGACTTTGGGGTACCCCACACCTTACATCATATAACTCAATGGGTGGTAGAACCAGAACTGGATTCCATGTCATTGGCCCACAACTCCAAAATCATTTTTACTATGTCACATTGTATTTCAAAGTCATAAAAAGTTTCTCTAAAGTGTGAAAGTACTGCATGGTGTAAACGCTCTATAAAATTGTGGTAAGTTTCAAGCATGATATCGTAGCTTAGTAATCAGTATAGCTTGATTCGGCTTAATGCTTTGGTGAGACCCTGTTTGCCCTCCCATTTCAACCCCAGATTGGCTGGTCCCCTTTTAATTCAAATTCTTGAATTGTTTAGTATTCTTAGATAAACCCCAGAATTTTTTTGTTAAGAATACTCTCCTTACATTGATCAAAACCTCATTCTAACAGCAGCCTCACCCTTTCCAGGGCTTCAGTTAAGGGTCTGTTGCTCTGATCTCACTATGTTTATCTTGAAATGTTTCCTAAGTAACCATTCCCTGTTCTTCTGAGTTTTCTGTTTGCTTTTCCTCAAATAACACACCCCTTTCAATTTTTCCTAAGGTGTCTGGAGCTATATTGGATAATGTTCTTCTTTTTTCCTGTTAAGTCTCTAAGTCTTTTAATGCATGCCCATACTTTCTTAAATTCTATATTATCATATTTAATTCCACTTTCCTCCATATATCATTTTGGTACCTATTTATTATAGCAGTAATTCTGAGTCTCCAGAGTTGTACGTCAGAGAAGTCCTCTCAATCTCTACAAATTTAATGCAAATATTTTAATCTTTAAATTTCTCCCTCCTCATTAATGTAAGGTTATTTCTACTCCTTGGGCTACCTTTAAACCTGTACCTGTGTGTTTTGAAGAAGAGATGAGTCTTTGTTACAAAATGTGAATTGAATTCCAAACCCTAATTTTGATTTTTTTTGGCTACTGGGAAACAAAAAGGAAAACTGTACTTAATAATTTACTAATGTGCATATGTGTCCAAATGTACAGAAATAAACTCCTAAGTAGAACTTTGTGTTTAACAGCATAATTTCCTGTTTCACTTTGTTAAGTCTTGTGTTTGTGATATATAGAGGACTACAGAAGCAAAAGGAATTGAAGTCTGATTTTTTTTAGCTTTTTAATTATACTTAAAAGTTCTGGGGTGCATGTGCAAAATGTGCAGGTTTGTTACATAGGTACACATGTGCCATGGTGGTTTGCTGTACCCATCAACCCATCATCTACATTAGGTATTTCTCCTAATGCTATCCCTCCCCTAGCCCTCCACCCTCTGACAGGCCCCGGTGTGTGATGTTCCCCTCCCTGTGTCCATGTGTTCTCATTGTTCAACTCCCCCTTATGACTGAGAAAATGTGGTGTTTGGTTTTCTGTTCTTGTGTTAGTTTGCTGGGAATGATGGTTTCCTGCTTCATCCATGTCCCTACAATGGACATGAACTCGTCCTGTTCTATGGCTGCATAGTATTCCGTGGTGTATATGTGCCACATTTTCTTTATCCAGTAGTCTATCATTGATGGGCATTTGGGTCGGTTGCAAGTCCTTGCTATTGTGAACAGTGCTGCAATAAACATATGTGTGCATGTGTCTTTATAGTAGAATGATTTATAATCCTTAGGGTATATACCCAGTAAAGGGATTACTGGGTCAAATGGTATTTCTCATTCTAGAACCTTGAAGAATCGCCACACTGTCTTCCA